ATCTGAAAGTCAACATGAAGTAGTTTTTAGACCAAAATTATTAAAGCTGAATAAGGCATACCAGGAGTCATCTCTGAGAGTATGACAGGACAAACATTTTCTATAGAATTATACGTCAATTGTTAGTATTATCTAGAGAGTTAAAAGCATTCAAGATTCATCCTTACTATCAATTTGATGTTTTTTCTTGTCCATAGCATGGATAGCACTGATTTATCCAAAGCTAAAGTTTTTTTATATTCCTGAGTTACATTTCAGCAGAACAGAAGGTTCAAGGGGGAAAAAAAAAACAACAACCCACATGGGTTCTATTCATTGAGATAGATAAGGTGGTTCACTCCCCCACTTTGGAGAGAGGGAGAGTGGAATATGTGTGGTAAAGCAGGATGCCTCTGTGCTTGAGTTCAGACTGGACCTGGGACTGGGTCAAGGCCAGAGAACACAAGACTAAGCATTATTATACTGGGCCTTAGACCCAGCTGACAGCACCCGCACAACAGTCCTGGAAAGCTCTTGAGGGTATTCCCCCCTCCCTTGGAAGTGTTTTCCATCTGGTTCTCTATTCCACCAGCCACAGGGAAGCATTCTTCACCTCTGTGTCCTGACAGACACTTTATCATCCCTGCAGGACACGGGGAGCCAGGCAAGAGTGAAGGGGGCAGCTGCACTGACCCGATGGGTTTCTAGCAAAGTAGCGGGGAAATTCCATAGAAAGACAAGCCTGACTGGCTACAGTTCATGGGGTCGAAAAGAGTCAGATATGACTGAGCCAGTGGGGATGAGGACGAGGTGGTTCCACCAGTCAGACGGATCAAAGCACCACTGACTGTCCACCCAAGCAACCTGCAAGAGGCCAGAGGGCAGCCGGTGCTGCGGAGGGCAGAGGATGAAAGCCTAGAGCATCCTACAAGTACAGGGCATGACAGGCCTGCACCTGGAAAGAGCTGACTAAAACACCATCTAGGTTATTCTTTTAAAAAGCCTCTCAGTAGGGGCGTTGGTGGCTCCGTGGTAGAATTCTCGCCTATCACCCGGGAGACCCGGTTTGATTCCTGGTCAGTGCATTGTGGTCGTGTTTGTTTTGGGCTTCCCTGGTGGCTCAGATGGTGAAGAATCTGCCTGCCATACAGGAGACCTGGGTCGGGAAGATCCCCTGGAGAAGGAAATGACGACCCGCTCCAGTAGTCTTGCCTGGAGAATCCATGGACAGAGGAGCATGGTGAGCTACAGTCCAAAGGGATCTCAAAAAGTCTGGCATGACTAGCGACTAATATACATACCCTCTCTACATCCAAAAGAGACCAGATTCCAGGTTCCTGAAGGGCCATGAGGGCCCTCTTCTGGACGGCCAAGCTGTTCCTGTCCTTGGAAGACAGGTCCCACAGAAGATAGCTTTGAGAGGGACGCCAAAGGAAAGGAACCATCCGGAGATGTCTGCATGTTATTATCAAGTGATGTCATAACTCTTACATAAAGAAAGTAAGAATATGATGTTAACTGCCCACGTAGGTACAGAATATACCATCTGCCAACTTTTGGTATCTTACAAAAGCTTTGGGTTTTGGTTTTTAATGAATTTTTGGAACTGAAGCCTCACATGCTGGAATGAAAACTCTGTAAGTAAGGCTCTGGGTTTACCATGCCAGGAGAAAAGAGTGGAGGCGAGAGCTGGCCAGCTCAGGCCTTTCACAGCATCTCAGCTCCAACAGCCAGCCTGAGGTCCAGGACGCTAGGCCCAGACTCAGCGTCTTAGGAACTCTGTGCAGAAATGTTCTACACTGGACTTTTAAGCAAAATACGGTTCCCATCGCGGCAGGAAGAGAGAGACTTGTGTGAGTACAGACGCTGGAACAGAGAAAGTTTCCCCTGACTGGGAATGGAACTCGGGTGGCAGAGGTGAGAGCGCCGAATCCTAGCCACTAGACCACCAGGGAGCTGTAGACAAAAGGTTATTTCGCTTCTTCAGGAGAAAGATGAGTCGTCAGAAATACCTCATGGGCCTACAGCTAGCTGAGTGCGTGCCTCACCCCGTGCCTGTCGCCTTTGCCAATGCGAACGCAAATGTCCGCGGTGGGAGTGGGGGAGAGCAACCTGTTTCGGCCCGGCTTCGAACCGGGGATCTTTCGCGTGTGAGGCGAACGTGATAACCACTACACTACGGAAACGGCACAATCTCCAGTATTTAACACTATATGCCATGAAATCCCGAATGCTGCCTCCAGCATCAGACCACCAAATTTTAACACTCAAACAGGAACCTTGAAGCCCCAAACTCGCTCAGACGCGGAGACAGCGGTTCGTGAGGGCCCTGCTTTAGAGTTCCTCATCTCCCCTCAAGTGAGGACACTGGGGCCCCCACAGGCTGCATTCGGGGTCCCGCACCCAACGCAGAGTCCTCAGACCCTTAGCTCCGCCCCCGAGCTCAGGTGTCGCCCCCGCAAGAGGCGGGGACAGTGGGTGCGTCCGAGGCCAGGAGACCCCGCAGCCCAGCGGTGTGGACGCCGCCCCTCCCGGGCTGCGGGCCCGCGGCTCGGTGGCCCTGTTCATGGCGCAGGCGGTCAGCACTCTGGGGTCTCAGGATTGATCGCCGCTTCCAATCCCCCGGGACCCGCCCTCCCCGCTGCTCCTTTATACCTGACTCCTGGGCTCTTTTCTCTGCCTGCCACCTCGCCGCTGCACTTCCCGGTGTTCTCCTGGCAAAAGGGAGTCTCTTTGGTGTTCTCTAAAACCTCACCCCACCGTCCCTGGGTGGGCTCGAACCACCAACCTTCACAGTTAACAGCCGAACGCCCTAACCCATTGCGCTACGGAGACAGCAGTACCGGCCTTTCCTGGAGTCTTTGGAATTAACACTTCTTCCTAGGGTAAGACCCCTGCCCCCGGGAAACGGTGCCATTTCCGTGCCCTCTACCAACCACAGATGCCAGAGCCCCCAGAGATACGAGGAGCCAGCGCTCCTATCCTACGGGCCTGAACGGAAATGGATCCAAGGACAGCTGAACACACGCTGGGCCCCATGATGGCTCTTCCCGCTTCCTCGCCTACACCCAATGAATGAGAGTTTGCCCACCCTGGCCCAGGCCTCCGGGGCCGAGGTTGTGCTTCGGTTTCCTGTGTCCACCAGGCGATTTCCACCCGAGTGGGCTTCCCTGGGGCTCAGACGGTAAGAATCCGCCTGCAATGCAGGACACCCGCTTGCAATCCCTGGTTTGGGACTAGACTCCGGAGGAGGGCATGCAACGCATTCCAGTATTCTTGCCTGGAGAATCCCCATGGACGGAGGAGTCTGGCGGGCAACAGTCCACAGGTCACAAAGAGTCGGACATGACTGAGTGACTGAGCGCAGACACACACACAGGGACCTATAGTCAATATCTTGTAATAACCTTTAATGGAAAATAATTTCAAAAATAATATATGTGTGTATGTGTAACTGAAGCACACACACAAAAAAGAATTCTAGTTTTTGAAAATTTAATAATGTTTATCTTTTTGCTAGTTTTTCTATGTCTTATGGATATCTAATCACAGTGTATGAGATACAAAATTTTGAATATATTTGGGTAGGATATGATTAATATAAATTAATTAAATATAAATCTATTATATTTAAATTATTGACACCATTCAAGATGCTCCTATTCTTTTTTCTGTACTTGATAAAATATTCTCAGAGAAATGTTAATGTTTCACTATGATGATATATTTTTTCTTTTATGTTTCTTCTGATTTTTGCTTTATGTATCTTTGTTTCTTTGTTGTTAAGATGTCTAATGGTTTATATCTGTCTTCTTTGTGAATTGTGTACCTTTTATCGTTAAAAATATTCATCTTTGTTTCATTTAAAATAAATAAATTTTAAAAATTCAAAATAACTAAATGCTTTTTAAAAAAAAAAAAAAAGAAAACCTATTTCAGTGACTTTAACAAGTTGGAAAGAAACCCTGTGGTGCTAGGATGATATTCACAAGGGACAAGCACAAAATCTTATATGCAGTTTAAAACACAAAGCAACCCACAGAGGAAGAGGAAGATGGGGCTGGAGGCAGGGAGGTCAAACCTGATTTCAAGTTTAATGAGAAGCCCACGTGCTTCCCCAGTGAGGGAAAAGAAGCTACTATAATATTGGTCTCTACCAAGAAGGTAATTAAGACATAATCTAGTCAGTAATCCTTGTAAGTTAATTACTCACATACCAAGTACAGTATTAAATTCAGGATTTTTTCCTCACAATATTAAAATGGTGTGGAAGAAATGAGAGAAACAAACAACATCAAGACTGTCTAAAAGTTTTGAATTTTTCTGATGAAAAAGTGACTTCATGATAGTCCTTTTGACAATGAAAGAATTTGGGAAAATATTGATCCTTGATGCTTGCTATGCTTGCAAGAATAGAAGTACAAAATGGCTTTAAAGTTTAGAAAGAGATAGATCTGTAGTATCAGTACTAGGGTTCACAAATATTGGCCAGCGAGGGAATGTCCCCGTCAGTGGTGACCTTCAGAACAGACCAGGTGGCCTTGAGTATCAGTTTGGCCTAGTCAACTAGAATACAGGAGCTCCCGAGATTCCATGACACCCCACACCTTCCAGTTCTGTTATTGCAACTCCACATGGTTACCTGGCACGCTGGGTCCTCTCTCTGGCACTCTTGTCAGAGCCTGACCTCTGAGCTTTGGCTTCTTGTGCCTCATTTTTACGGTTAAGGATTCTCAGAGTTGAGGAATGCTGACAAAGTAGGCCGCAAAGTAAGTAATAAACTGCATCTTCATTTTAAAAACATTTAAAACATTCTGTTCCACTGAATGAAATCTCATTAAAGCAAAAGTTACATACTGTAATAGTCACCCACTCATTAACATTGTATTCTTTAATGATTTTAGTAATTTAGCAGGCTGTACATGCATTACCACAATCCATTCACTTGTCTCTAATTTCTTATTTCTTTGGGTTTCTTTTCCCCAGGTTCTGGCTCTGCTTCTTCCACCCTAAGCTTCAGCATGGCCGTATCTCACACCACTTTCTCTGGTTTGAGGACAGAAATGGGCATCTTGCAAACCAACCAGTACTTGCACTCCCAGCTGGAAAAAAGCAAACAGGACTTTCGAGACCTCACAGAGAAACTGCTCACGTCCCAAGCTACTGTTTACTCCCTGGCCAACCAGCTGCAGAAATACAGTAAGTCCTGGGGTCACAGTCACCATAGTGATAAATGATTGTCTTCCCTCTAAGAAACAAAACACCCTCAAACTGTATTCTTTTCCCTCCTTCATCAAAATAAATTGCATCCTTACTACACTCTCAGAAATGTGGAAGCAGGTAGTTAACCCTCACATCTCAGAGGATGGAGACACTGACGAACAAAGGGGTATAGTTTGTAGTGAGAATATAGGGAGGAACAGAGGCTAAGATCTCATTCAGGCCCTAGACTTTTTTTCTGTCTCAGGAATATATATTAGATTCTATAAACATAATATCCTTGTTGGCTTAAACATCTCAGGATTTAATTCAAACTTTTTGTGGGCATCCATTTGCAAAGCACTATGCTAGCTGCACTAGGGAAGAAAGAAGTGACAGGACACCCTGCCTACCTTAAAGGTCCTTAAAGCTCTCTATTCCCAACTGAACCACAGAGATCTGGAAATGAGAACATCAATAGCACACAGCAAGGGGAGGGGAGGAGCTGTAGTGACTGAGGAACATGGGAATGAGGACCGAGGGCGACAGGAATAAAAGGGCGCAATTCTTACTGATGCAGAAGTGGAGTTCACTTTCAAATTTCTACTATTAGTTTTCAGTAAACCAATGGGGGATAAAATTTGCTATCCAACTTATTGACATGGATCAAAAAGTTAAAATTAAAGCCTAGTTATCAAAGAAGTGAAAAGAGCTTTCAGGTATGGGAATGTGTTTGTTTGTTTGTTTTGACATCATTTATTATGGTCATAATACAGCTTTTTTTAAAACTGGAGAAGAAATATGTCACCCAATATCTTCCTGTATAGGTAACACAGCATAGTAATTAAGAATGTGTGCCCTGGGGCCAGAGTTCCTGGTTTCAAACCCAAGATGTTCATCTTCTCCATGACTCAGTTTCCTCATCGGTAATGATAACAGGAATAGTATCTACCTCCTCAGAGAGAGGTGATGATTTCAGGATGATAATTCTCAAAAATCTGTTAGAACAAGGCTGCTGCTGTTAGAACTTGGCTGCTGCTGCTAAGTCACTTCAGTCGTGTCTGACTCTGTGCCACCCCATAGACGGCAGCCCCCCAGGCTCCTCTGTCCCTGGGATTCTCCAGACAAGAACACTGGAGCGGGTTGCCATTTCCTTGGCAAACACTGTGTATTAGGTTTCCTACCAACCTAACGCAGCACCTGTTAGCATTGAGCATGTCTTTCAGGTTTTTTCCCCTTCGTGTGCATTTTTACACAGTTGTATCTAGATAAACTTTAAAATCTTGGAAATATTGAGGGATTATCGAAACTCTCAACATGGGAGGACTGTCAGCCCTACAGTTCTTGGAGGATTCCCAAACACACAGGGAATTCCTACTCTGTGCCCAGGTTCATATTTTCCTTAAGAGGCTGCATGCTTTGGTAAAGTGGCCCAAGATTTGGAATCACAACTCAAGAGTATGTGAATTCTGACTTTGCTTCATTCCGGTTGAATCATTTTGAGTTATTTTACTCTCTACGAGGTTCTGTCTCCTCAGCTCTACCTTGGGGGGAATCAAATGCTAGTAGCTGGGAAAGCTGAGGAATCAGATGTGGGCTTCCCTGTGTGGAGCCTGGTACCCAGGTGACATCTGTCCTCGGGAGGCCCCTCCTCCTCCCCGGAAGGCTGGACCCCAGCAGCAGGGCCAGCTTCCCCTGAGACAGTGTCTCTGTTTCTCCAGAGTGTGAAGAGTACAAGGACCTCATTGAATCTGTGCTGGAGGAGGAAATGCCCTTTGAGGAGGGGAAGCTGGCAGAGAAGAGGAGACTGGCTACACGGCTTGGGTAAGGAGGAAGCTGTGTGGAAAATGGGGAAAATGGGGAAGCGCAGGGTGGTAGAATAAAGAGAAAACTTGTGCAGGGAGAAGGGCAGAAATGTACGCACAGGCACAGAACTAGACAAAGACAGCCTGCGGGGCTGTGGGAACTAA